TAAGGGACTCAAAAGACACATAATCCTTTTTAATCAGGGAAGGTGGAGAAGAGGGTGAGGTGATTGGTCCTCCATTGATCCATGGATCAATCAGAATTATTCCCTAATATTTGACTCAGGAACTTTATTGAATAATAAAACATTAAATACTTCATATTATTTTTCTCTTATTGTATTTCTTTGATTTGATTTTTTTTTGTCTTGTTTGCATTGCTGTTTGCCATCTAGTTGATTTGGGATTAGTTTGTTCATGTTTTCCCAAAAGTCTTGTTTCATCACTAACCATCAATTTGTGTTCTTTCTGATTTTTTAAGAAGGGGCTTAGCACTTCACTCTTAGGACTGCTTTTGCTGTGTTCCAGGTTGCTCATTGTGTTTTGTATCCCTTTTCACTTAGTTCTACTATGTTTTTCTCTTTTTCTCTGCGAACCATTCATCATTCATTAATGTGCTTTTAAATTTCCACAGTGTTGAATCCTTACTGGAGACTCATTTGCTTTTGAGTGTATTTAATGACATTATGATAAGAAAGTATTAATAGAGCCATTTCAATTTTCTGAATTTGTGTAGACTTGCCTTGTGCCCAAGTAAGTGGTTTCAGAGACGCATTCTACAGGCTTCACAAGTAGAATGTGTAGCCCCTTGATATTTGGTTGTAATATTCTGTTAGGTTCATTTGATTTATGATGCCATTTAATTATGATCATTCTCTGTTTATTTTGATTCTATTTGGTGAATAGTTTAAGAAGTATTGGCTGTAGATATTCTGTGAAATACTGGTAGAGTTCTGTGAATCTATCTGGCCAAGGTTTAAGGCTTTTTATAACTGTTTGAGTAATTTCATTTATTATGGGTCTGTTTAGATTAATCATTGCATTTTGGTTTTCCATCTTAAGGGAGTACACATTGTTAAAATACTCCTTTATAATATACTGAATTTCTTTGGTGTCTCTTGCAATATTTCCTTGTTCATTTTGGACTCTGGTTTTGGGTCCTCTCTTTTCTTCTTTGGTACTTAAGTCTGCCAGTCTACTTTACCTTTTCAAAGGACAAGATCTTAGATTCATTGAATCTTTGCAGTGTTTTATTTATTTCTATTGTGTTTATTTCTGCACTAATTTATTAGTATTGCTATTTGATGCCAGTTGGGTTTGTATGTGTTTTGATCTTTTTTATTTCAATTTGGAAAAGATGAACCATTTGGTCACTTATATAGGTGTTCTTTCCAGGTTCTTTAATGTAGGCAACTAGTGTTATAAATGTATTTCCTTGGCTGGTTTCAATTGTGTCTCAGTGGATTTTGCTTTATTGTGATTTCAAGTCATTTAGTTCATGGACATATTTTATTTCTCCCTTGATTTCTTCATTGCCCCATTCATCATTCAATAATAAGTTGTTTAATCTCAATGAGTTTGTGTATTTACTAGAGATTTGTTGGCTGTCAATTTTAAGTTTTATTGCTTTGTGATCAGATGGAATACAAGGAGTGATTTCAATCTATTTGAATATGTAAATATAAGTTTTCAGTCCCAGGATATGCCATGTTTTAGAAAATCTTTAATATGCTGCGAGTAGAATGTGCTCTTTGGTATTTGGTTAGAAAATTTTGTAGATAAATGACGACTTCTTTATTATTATCATTATTTTTGTTTAGCTTACCTGTGTATTGGAGAAAGTGGTATATAGAAATAAACTACTAGTAATTGATTGATGTTATTCTGTGTGCTTAAAGCATTAATAGTTTTATGAAATTGGTTGCATCAGAGTTTGGTAAATACAGGTTTAGGGTACTGTTATCTTCTTGGTAAACTGTTCCCTTGATTATTACTTCTGATCAATTTTAGTTCAAGGTCTATTCTGGGAGATATTAGCATAGGAAACTCTTCTGGCATTCTGGCCCTGTCCTTTTACTTTTGGTGGTTCCTGTCTTCAAAACTAAGATGTGATTCTTGGAAGCAACAGATACGTGGAGTTTTCTTCTCCGTATGTGTAGAGTCTGTGTCTTTTGATTAGAGAATTTAGGCCATGAATACTTAATGGTATTACGGAGGCATGTGTTACTTTTTATTGTGTTTCTTTCCTCGGTGGTATATTTTTAAAAATAATTATTGGTTTGATTATATCATGGAAAGTTTTACTGTGAATTGTGGCACATAATTTTCCCTGATATGTTAGTTTTATATTAGTCTAGGCTTGCAATCATAGTCTTTTAGGATTTGGAATGAATTTTTCCAGAGTCTTTTCACTTTCAGAGTTGCCATTAGGAAATCACCTTTACTCTCATGGGTTTATCTTCATAAGTGACTCATATTTTCTTCCATGTAGTTTTAAATACACTTTCTTTGTTATATTTACTCAGTGTTTCAACTATAGTATGCCATGGTATTTTCTTCTTTCATTCGTGTCTATTTGGTATCCTGTGTGCTTCTGTATCTGCACCGTGTGCCTTACCTCAGTTTGGGGATGTTTTCTTCTATGATCCTCTTGAAGACCAGCTGGTCTATCCTACTGACTAGGGAATCTTCTCCACCTATGCCTATAATTTGAAGATTTGGTTTTCCATGCTGTCCCACCTTTCTTGTATGTTTCTTCCCTTTGTTTGTGTAAAATTTCCCTATTCATTGTTTGATTGATCAAGATCATCTATTTTACATCTGAATCCTGATAGTCTATATTCTTCTAGAGTCCTTCAACTAGTAAGGCTTTCCTCTGACTTTACTACTTTAGTTACTGAGGTTATATTTAATGTTGAGTTCTTAATATTTCTATCTCCTAATTGAACTCTGTTGTGAAGTCCAGGTCTATCTTTGTCATTTCTATCAACCTTATGTTTGTGTGTTCTTGGGCATCACTCAGGCATTCCTTCTCCTTCAGTTTTGTCTCCTAATTTCATTGAGATTTTTCTTTGTGCCTTCTTGTATTCCTTGAATTATTTGCAGAGGTATATGATAACTGTTTTAAATTATGTGTCCTTGTCCTGGGATATACATACATACATACATACATATATATATATATATATATATATATATATATATGTGTGTGTGTGTGTGTGTGGGTGTGTGTGTGTGTGTGTGTGTGTGTGTGTGTGGGTGTGTGGGTGTGTGGGTGTGTGCGTGCGTGTGTGGTGTGTGTCCTCATTAGTAATCACTAATATAGGTTTGGTAGTTTGTGTAGAGAAGACACTGGTTTTATTTTTCATATGGATTGTAGTTTGCAAAGAGATCTGGGTATATGGACACATTCTGTTAGTTTCATTTTTGCTTTATATGCACAGAGCAGATTGGATCAGAAGATAGAACGTATGGGCATATTGTAACTAGATGTTGGAAATAGCTTGGGAGGAATGAAGTCTACTGGACACAGTGAACTGAGCTGCTGTATAAGATTTACCTCCTGGCCCAACCCTTGATTGTGACGGTAGATATGACTGGATGGAAAGGTTGTAATGTGATATGGGAGGGGCCTAATGGATCTTGCATAGGCAGGGTGGTTTCTGGCAGAAGCTCAGAGGTTGTTTGAGGCACAGACAGTGGTGGTTGGACTAGGCTTGGCCATAGGTTTGGGTCTCAAGAATAGATACAGTGGTTGGGAAGTATCTGTGTTAGGGGAGGGTCAAAGAATCACACTAGGTTAGACCCTGGTGAAGAGTGAATGACACAAGGCTCTGTGGAGAAGTTGGATGATATGTGCCTGAAGGATCATTCTTTGTCTTTTTTTCATTTATTTTGAAGTCTATTTTGTCTGAAATTAGGGTAGCAAAAACTGTGTTTGTTGTTCCTATTTGCTTAGGATACTTTCTTCATCCTTTCCATTTAAAGTGTGTCCTAACTTTGAAGGTAAGATGAGTTCCTCATAAAACACACAAAAATAGCTCTTTTTTACTTTTTTCAACATGAGTGTTTTGACTGGGAAGTAGATACCACTTGTACTTAAGGTTATTATTGACAAATGATGTTAGTTGTAGCCATTTTGTAGTTTTGATATCTGAGTTCTTAATTGTAGACTGCATTTCAATTATTATAACTTCATTTGCCTTCTACAGTATATTTTCTATACTTAGTACTGTCTTCAATTTAGTAAATTCTAAAATACATACTAGACACTGTATTGTACAATTTCATTTCTGTTCCTTAGGCTAAAACCAAGGTAAATGATAATTTATATCAACATAAATTATATATATATATATATATACATATATATATATATATATATATATATATATATATATAATACATGATCTGCTCGTGCACAATGCAAATGGTACCATTCATTACAACTAAAGCTTGGTATTAATCCAGGTATAGAAACTCAATGCTTGAACAGAGAAAGCATGGGTCATCTATACGAGAAACTAGTCAGTATGAAAGTTGACAGTCTTCTCAAACTGGCTGTAGCATTGATGGACTTTGAAAACTTGACATTATTTAGCTGATGTTGTGGCAGCTATCTCTAATACCAGCAATTGAATAAAGAAGCAGCAGGATTGCCTCTAGCCAAAGGAAAGACTGAGGATGTAGTTCGAGGTCAGCCTGGGATACAGAGTCATACAGTGTCACACAAACAATGAATAGTTAAATGTGCTGAGACAAAAGTACCACAGCTTGAATATATGACTGCACTACTATCTTTAAGGTTGGCATATAATACCATGGTATGGATATTGCATAAATTATCCACTGTTGTGCTTCAAGTGGCTTCCTAATTTCAGGCTGTCATGACAATCTGAATGGCCAATATTTGGGGCCAAACTTCACTGTGAGTCTGTAAACACTGGAAGAAGAAAATATTAGATGGTATGTTGATTATCAACCTGCTAGTAAGTGTTGGCACAGAGCCAGCCATTCTGAATTTGATCAGAACACATTCCCTACAGGAGATTTCTTAGCCAAAGGCCCACCTGTTCAACAAAACCCTTCTCTAGTGGTACTTTCCCCACAGGGGACAATGTCGCAGGCCCGAAGAGCCCATCCTCATGATGTCCTGTGTTTCTTCGCAGTTGCCAGGTGTTCCGTGTCACCATTATAATGGTCAGCAGGAGTGCCAGCCGGCAGCTGGGAGGCTTTGCTGCGGCCACACTAGCGTGGATCCTTTGTAGCGTCTCTATGAGCCTCCCTCAGTGGCGAGTATGGTACTTCCAAGAACCAATGGATTCCAAGCCAAGCATGACTTTAGTGGGGATGTGGAGAACCTGCGTGTACCACGAGGAAAGAAATTCCAATATTTTAAGAGCATGTTACCAATATACCTACCAGGACACCTTCATCCCTTTGGATATCCGCGTTGCTCAACATCTGCTACTGATCTCCAGCTTTCTCGGCATGATTTCGATGGTCTCTGTCGTTGTTGCTCTTTGGAAAATTTACACAGGAAGACTCTGGAAGAAAGCCACCTATAATCCATTCTTCTTTCCAGGGATTCTGAACATCATTGCTAGCATCCTAGTCTTCCTTTCAATCTTGTACAACTATTTATCCATCATTCACAAGGACGGGATTGCCTTTCCCCCATCTTTCCATACACCTTCCTTACCGGATACCCAGAAAGTTGGCATTGCACTGGCAATGGCAACTCTTTCTTCTGTCTTATTTTTAGTGGGTGGCACAATTTCCCTTTCTTTCACTCTTCCCCTGCATTCCCAAATCCACTACAATATTTAAATGCAAGTTTCCAACTTAGATAGAGTTGAAAACCCAAAATTACAAGGAGTAATCACAAGTATTCTTCAGACAGCTACCTAAAAATTTCAGATTCAAAACCATGCCCGAGGACGAAAAGTGGATCTCTAGATGTATTCCTGTTTTAGTCTATTCAGTATTTCATTAAATGCATTATTGCACACTTAGTCTTATGAGTTCTAGATTTCAATTACTGAAAGTAAATAATCTGGAGTTATAGTAGATATGGAAATTAATGTCAGAATACATTGACCTCGTTCGTACATCATCCTCTACATCCATAAAAATTAAATCAGGCCTGTTTTCCCATGCCATGAAATTACAACTGTTCACCAGATGAACTTCCCAAAATTGCTATAAGGAATCTCCACAATGCATTTGTCAAAATACTTGCAAAGATTTTTCTCATAATACTTTGCTCCATCATTTAGACGTTAAATAGATTTTTCTTTTCCTAAAGTTTGAAAATGAGGCACTTCATATAATCTTTTATTATTCTTGTACTCCATTGCTGGATTTTCTTGTCCCACCAGGTTCTGCTGCTCCAGCCACAAAGGAACACACAGAAATACCATATTTATTATAAGACTATTGGCCGATGGCTAGGGCTTCTTACTGGCTAGCTCTGTCTTAATTATTAATCAATTTCTCATAATCTATGACTTTCCACATAGAGTTGGCTTACTGGAGAAGGGTCTACACCTGTTACACCTTCCTTTGCTATATGGAGTCTCTAACTGGCACTTCCCTACCTACATTTCTCAGAATTCTCCCCATCTACCAGCCCCATCTATCTTGTTGTCTCTACTGGCTATTGGCCAAACAGTGTTTTATTCATCAAGCAATAAGAGAAACACATATGCAGAAGGGCATCCCCCATCAGGACTCCAACTTTACTATATACAAAACATTTTCAGACTATCCTACACCTAATTAGTTTAACAAGTTAAAGTTAAACTTGTTAAAGTTCCTTCCCTTGTTGTGAGATATTTCCTAAGGAGAAGTAAAAGAAAAAAAAAATTACTCACTACAAAGAGCACATCAACAGCAGAACAGCAAACTAATTCTAACTATCTGTAACTTGGATACTTGTGTTAGCTTGAGGGACTACCCAAGTAAAGCCCCCAAACTAAATTCCTGAAAGAAGAGGTCAGTTTGCTTGGGAATTTGAGGTCTAGTTCGTAGTGTCTGGGGAGTCATGCTGGCAGGATCTTGATATTGCTGATTACCTTGTAATTACAGTTAGAAGGCAGAGAGAGGCAAATGCTATGTTTGACTTGCTTTCTCCTTTTCATACAGTCCATAACCCAAGCCCAGGGAATGGTGCTGCCCACCTTTAGGGCAGGTCTTTCCATTTCAACTCGCTAATTTAAAATAACTACACAAAGACACTCCCAGAGGCTGATGAACTCTAGATAATCTGTGTCCAGAAACTTATTACATGTAACTCTAGAATCTAGAATCTAGAACCAGTGAAATTAATAGTTCATATAAATTCACATCCTATTAATATCAATACTACAGTGAGTCTGACTTAAGTGATAAGCTCTTAAATATTCAGGGAAGATGTGGTTTAATAATGAGAAGAGTTACACTGTAAATGAAGAAAGTAAGACTCGACATGCAATTGTTATCCAAAAATGATAGCTGAAGGTTCTCTGGTATCCCCTTCCATTTTAACCATAAAGTCCAAATTATCCCTAATAAGGGGACTGATTTCAGGAAAAAGGAATAAAAAAAATTATCAACGTTTCTCCAAGTGTATACACTACATGCACTCTCTGTCATCTGGAAAGGGAAAATACAATTGATAGCCCAAACATGCAATAAACTTAATTCTTAATCTTAGGATATCTAACTCCTCAATCAAGTTGAAGTCATTCAGTGTATCTAAATTAAGGTTTCTATTGCTGAAATGAATCACCATGACCAAAAGAGACTTGGAATGCTAGAGGTTTTTTTTTTTTTCCCTTATTACATGCTATAGTATATTATCTAGGGAATTCAGAGTAGGGACTCAAAGCAGAAACCTAAAGACCACAACTGTTCCAGAGGACATGGAAGAATGCTTCTTAATGACCATTACCAATCTCTTTCCTTGACCTGTTTTCTTACAGCATCCAGTATACCAGCCCAAGCATAGAAACACCCACAGTGAGCTGGATCCTCTCACATCAATCTTGAATTAAGTGAAGGCATTTTCTCAGTTCAGTTTCCTCTTCTAAAATGACTCTAGCTTGTGTCCAATTGGCATAAATCTAGCCAGTACACTACAAGAGACATCAAAGGACATTTATGAAGTTGCTTAAGTAGATAGAATACGAAAGACAGAGAATAATGCAGCCAAACAGATTTTCTCAGCTTTCCCACTATTGCTTCCAAAGATAGACGAGGTACAGCTAAAATATATTCCCTAAGAGGGAGAATACTTAAATGTAGTATAGTCCTCTTCAGACCACAGCTTCTGTGTGCTGGCCACCTAACTATTGTTCCATTGACTCACAGAAGATTTCATTTCCATGGAGCTAATCTCTTATCAAACACAGCCAATCCTTCAGCTTCATGTGACCAACCTCCCATTGTGCCAGTGAAAAACAGTTTCAGCTCAGTGACGCCACTGAATTGTTAATCATCACTGATTCATCAACCTAAGAAGACCAGCAACAAAACATTATTTATTTCATGTATTTTTGAGATTGTATCTTAATTACAACCTTTCTCTTTTCCTTTCTTCCTTCAAAATCCTCCCATATATTCCTCTCTGTTCTCCTTTTGATTCATGGCCTCTTTTTAATCAATATGCATATATATATATATATATATACATATATATACATATATATATGTTTACTATATAATAATATTATATATAAAACCCCAAATAGAACCCATCAATCAATATAATGTACTTCTATGTATGTTTCCCTGGCTGACAATTTGGTACTCAACAACCAATTGGTATGTTCTTTTCTGGGGTGAAACACCTCTTCCACTGTCTGCTTTATCCAGTTACCTGTACTTTGTGGAGGGTTTGAGTGGATATGTTGGTGAGGTTTTACAGGTCTAGACTGATGTTTGTAGGAGACACAATCTCATACCAAAGTCCCCAGTTCTCTGGCTCTTACAATCATTTGACCACTACTTCTACGATATTCCCTGAGCCTTAGGTGTAGGAGTGATTTGCATATCCATTGGGACTGGGTACCACAATTCTGCATCTTGATTGATTGTAATCTTCTGTAGTAGTTTCCATCTGTTGCAAAAGAAGTTTCCCTATATGGGGGATAAAGCCAACACACACTTGTGGGTAAAAGGACAAATATTTATAGATTGTTAGGGATTATGCTGATTTAGTAATTACTGATTGTGTATTCTCCTCCAGTAAACAAAATTTAACCAACGCTTGTGAGTTATCTAGGTTTCCAGTAACAGACATGGTTATCTGTTCTTCTTGAAAGGGTTTTATGCCCAATTTGTGAGAAGCTGGCTGCCAACAAGGTGTTTTTATACCATGATGGTCATTAATATAGCTCATAGGAACCAAAGCCGAATAGGACTGTTGGTTTACTCCCTTTTGAAAGATTACATGGTTCCTTATGGTGCCATGAAAGCAACTCCTGGAGGACGGGGCATTTAGGTCAGTTTCAACACAGAGGTCTCTGGGTGTGCTTTCTGAAGTATATGGTGTCTTTAGCAAGACTGATCTTCAATCTCCGATGAGCAACCAAGTGCAGCAGCAATAGGCTGTATGTTTTATTAGTCTCATAGACAGCCCTGTTCAACAACTCCAAACAAGGTTTCTCATATCTGGCATTGGAAGTTTTGTTAGGTGGTCTTTGTGTCTTGGAGGGAGCACCATTAGGCAAGATGCATTCATTAAAAATACATGTATATTTATGTACTGAGTTACAGGCATTTTAGATTTTTTAAAAACATATTTGATGGCATGATTCCTTGTGGCTTTCTCAGCCATCCATATTGTTATCTACTTTCCTTCTTATCCTGTATTTACCTTTCCCTTCTATAAAGTCCCCCCACCCATATTTCCATTTCCTCTAAGGTATCAGTTGTATCCTATCCACACTTAATCCTCCTAATGCAGTCTCTTCTGTATCTCTCCATAACTATACATTCAATTTCATCTTTCTTCAAAGTACCTCCCCCTGCCTTAGTTCCTTACTTTATACATAACCCTGTGGTTATACGGATTATAGCATTCCTATTGAAGGATTAAATGCTAATATCAACATATAAGAGACATACATATGTCTTTTTGTGTCTGAGTTACCCCAATCAGGATGATTTTTTTTTCCAGATCAATCATGGTCATATGAATTTTATAATTTTGGTTTTTTTTTTTTTAGTTACATTGTGTAAAGGTTCCAAAATATTCATTTTCCACTCATTTGTTAATGAACATCTCTGCTGTTTATTATTTCTTATTTCTTGTTTCTGGCTGCTATTAATAAAGAAGCAGTGAACATGGATGGGCAAGTGTCTCTGTAGTAGGATGTACAGTCCTTTGAGTGTATGTACAAGAATAGTATAATTGAGTTTTTAAGTAGATCAATTCTTAGCTTTCTATGGAACTACCACTTTGATTTCTATAGTGGTTGTACAAGTTTGCACACCCACTTTTGACACATTCTTGCCAGCATAAGCTATCATTTGTTTTATTAATTATCATGATTTAATAAGCATCAGGGAAACAAATAGGCCAAATAGATGTTTATTTAGGGATAAATAATTTACAACATAGACAGATGAACACCAGAATGTTCCTCCGGATGCTCTCCTGTCTGTGTGCTGCAAGCAAGAGAGCTCTCCCAGGCTCCTGCTCAGACCTAGTTTCCCCAGGTCATTTTCACACCTGTCTCCACCCGCAATGGGCATGATCAGTGCCACTGATGCAGACAAAGTGAATATCTCACTACAATTCCCCTTTTAGTCTAAATAAAACATTTAGGCTTGATACAAAACTA